GGGGGGGACACCCGGGTTACGGACCTTTTTTCATTAACCCTTTTTTTGGGGGGGGAGCCCCCCCCCCCCCCCCCCCCCCCCCCTCCCAGCTCTCCCTTTCTCTGCGCCCCTGCGTTCCCTTGTAGACATATATCACCTGCCATCGAACCGAAAAATGAACCGGAAAAGCCCTCGTTCCTGTCGGTACGAATAATTTTTGTCCTCGTCCTTTTTTTTTTTCCCCAGGCCGACGGGTATGAGTCTGGAGATCAAGACGGGGGCACCGCTGGAGGGGGTGAAAACGCGTCGAGGGGGAGAGATAAAAAAGGGGGGGGCGGCGGCGGCGGCGGCGGCACTGAAGCGGGCGGGGGCGAGCTGCGGAGCGGCGCAGGGGCAGGGACAGGGCGAAAAGCCCCGAGGAAACCGGGGCAAAAGAGGTACCCGCGAGCAACGCGCTCATTCTCCCTTTTACTTCTTTCCTCGGTGTGCTATTTCATGCCTGACACACGGCGCCCTGGGCTGCAGTCGGATCTCGACGGCATAAAAAAAACAACACCTAGCGTTTACTTCCGTACATACCGGTGTCTCGACCAATCACCACGCGTGACGCCAGGTTCGGCGGGGCCAGAAAGACTGGACCCCCGGGGTCTCCGGGCCGGGATTGCGCGGATGACAGCGGAGCGGGCGCGGCTGTTTCTAGCCTCGCGCAGCAGGCCGGCCGGTCTTCTAAGGTGGCCTTGCTGAGCGCGGAGCGCGTCAACGCGACCATCGCCAAGGTACAAAGTCAGTGACGTTTCGCGAGAGAGAGAGAGAGAGAGAGAGAGAGAGAGAACGGTCATATCAAGAGGGGTGTCCGAGAAAATATCGAAGTCTAGTAGGCGTCCTCGAAAACCTTCTAGAGGTCAGATCAGGGGTTCGAATCCCGGCGTTAGCGAGCTTTTCTTGCAAAGTGAGTTTTCCTCTCGCTTCCGCTCCTGCCCTAGTAGATAGCGCTAGTTCGTGTGTACACAGAGGGAAGAGAGTGCTGGGCTCTTCTCGCATTAAAAATCGAAGGCAAAGTACCGCAGGAGGGGAGAGGGTAGAGAGAGGCTCTTCTGTGTGACCACGGGTTGGAGTAAAACGTGCTGTGAGCGCTGATTTGAAGTGAAGACAATATATATATATACGCTGGGTAGGTTATCGCGTCTCGTTCGGCTGTGCTCGGAACGGAGCACGGGGGGAACGACTAATGTTTTGATTGTTGTTTTCGAAGCGAGGTCTTGCTACGAGACCACGCAGAACGGTTTCAAGCAAAAAACAAGCAGGACGCTATGCAAAGGACTCAGGTGTCATTTGCCAACAATGCCGTAGGCACGACTAGATCCCTCTTTTGGCAGGGATGGGATGACGACGACTTTCAAATAAAACAAGTTTGGTGAGGCAGATATAGTCGATGCAGACTACTATTTTCCTGTTTATTGAAACCGTCGAATTTGCCAGAGACATTTTTTTCCCTCTATTTCGGGGTATCGGATTGAGAGAGCCGTGTGGAGTGGTCACTTTCTCGGAGAGTTTACGTGAAGGAGAAGGCCAGCTGGACAGCGTGGATTAGCAAAACTACACAACAAAGTAGTAGTTGAACTCAGAGAGAGGGGTAATTGGGATTGGCTAGGTCGGGAGGCCAAAAGGTTAAGCTCTTTCCCGCCCCCCAACCCTTTTCTTTGGAAGGTGAGGGAACGGAAGGAATGAAGTAGGTAGAGTACATGGTAAAGTACCATTTGGACTTGGTCTGAGATGTTCCGACAGTAGGAAGAGTTCCCCACACCGGTGGAAAGAGAAACCCCCGGGCTTTAATCTTACGGAAGAGGGAGAGACAGTGGTACTGATGGACCGACACACGGTGGGACAGGCGCAGAGGGCGTCTGCAGGATAGCGTGTTGTGTCGGTGTGGTTTCTCTCTCTTCCTCGCGTGTGTGAAGAGAAACAGAGAAACAATAAATGCAAAATGGCAATTCGAAAGACCGGAATAAAGAGGCGGGGTTTGCTACACGAAAATACGCTGGAGAGCTTGTGGTTCGGGCGATTTGTTGTTGTCGAAGCCGCCAAGCCTCACTCGTGCTCGCGTCTGAAACGTTTGTTCCCTGGGCTGAAACTCAGGAACCAATCGATGTGCTGCTTGCCCTTCCCCCATGAAATCTGTGTCTCAAGGGGTAGACTATTCCACTAGGATGCATGCGCATCGTATCTACCGCAGGAAGAAGATCGAGTAATCATATTTACACCATCTTGACAGAGTTTCAAAGCTCCCTGTTGTTCCGATTCTAAGAGGGTGCTCGAACCGACTGACACGCGCAAGGAAACCTAGCTGTTGAAGATATGCTTCCGAAACCACCTTCTTTTTCGGCCTTCGTTGGCAAATTGCTTGTCGTGGAGCATTCACGAGCTGCAAGAGTCGGCTCCCCAATTGAGACCGTTGTCAGCACTCCACCTGTTCCGGTCGACGACCGGCCCCCTCCCCGGTGCCCGTGGCTCGCTGAGCGCCTGCATCTATCTCACGACCCTTAATCTCGCGCGCCCACTTCGCCGTCTTTCGCAACGCGCTGTATCGTTGTTTTCGAATCTAACTCGTTGTTGTTGTTGTTGTTGTTGTTGCAGATTTACTTCTCCAAGATGCAGGTCGACAGGAAGCTTCTCACACGAGATGGCAGCCTCTCGTGGGTGGACAAGTGCAGGCGAAAAAAAGACCAGGTGTGGGCTCAACAAAGATAACCGGGTGTGAGATTTTGACAACAAAAAAAATCAGGCATCCACACGCCACCGCCGTAGGTTGCACAAGATAAAAAACACCCCGTGGAGCGACCCTCAAAAATCCCATTACTCCACGACCGACAGGATGCACACAAACGATAATTTTCTGGAAATCTCTCAACGAAACGGTTCCTCCATTGCGCCACCATTTTCGGGAATTTCAGCAAAGTATTCTGAGATTTTTATGCACACTGTTCCAATGGGGGCATCTTGTTAAAACCTACCGTAGTCTGATGCTTGCTGGACCCACCATGACTGATCTGGCAAGGGAACAACGTTGACGTGACTGGATAGATGAAAAACCTTTTCCTCATTTTTTTGCCGTGTATCAGTGGTCCAGAGCGACAGAGACCCTCTCCCCCCCTTCACGTGCCGACCTATCCCACCCTCCCTGCAATCTCTCAATCTCTCACTATCTCACTATCTTCCCCCTTCTTCTCTCCCTCCCTCAATCTATGTCTATCTATCTGTCTGTCTGACTGTGTCTCTTACTCTCTTTCTCTCCCTCTCGCTGCGCCCCTCCCCTCCCCCCTGTTTTTCTTACCCGCCTTGTCCCTTTCCCACCTTGCTCCACGTCGGTTTCTTTGGTAACTCATGTATCTTTCTATCTACAAATCTATCAGAGGATGGACCGTTTTGTCCTGCAGTTCCACGTTCGACAGTTCGGAACTAAGAAGCTGGCTCGTCGAAACCTCCACCAGCTCTGCAAGAGCATCACCAAGCTCGCACCCACCAACCCACGAATAGCGGCGAGTAGAAAGACGCACAGTTGCCTCTACACGATGTAGGCATATTAGAGTGTGCGAGGGGGGGGGAGGGGGGGTGTACTCATATACTCATATGAGTAGGGGGGGGGGTGTACTCATAGTCGTGCATGCCGTAGTCGTTTGACCATTGACCTCGCATCCCTACAAAGCCGGGACGGAGCACGCCGGGTTCTCACCGGACCAGGCTCTCACATCACCAAGCGCGAAGCGCCGTGAGGTATTTGGCGAGTCGCATGAAGGGTGAGCTGCCATCCTGCTAAGGGTGTTC